TTTTTTTTTTTTTTTTTTTTTTTAAACCTTTTTTTTTTTTTTTTTTTTTTTTTTGAGGGCTCAATTGCTATAATTTTGCATTAAAATGAGGAGAATTTCCGGTAAAAAAAGAGAGAGAAGAAATATGCATAACTGTTAGGAGCAGAGTGGAAAATGTCTGCCGGCTACGTATGTACAGATGATTGGATGGAAGGCAAGGAGGGATTGAGGGGGAGGGGGCTGTTTGGGGGCAGAAGGGAGGAAGAAAAAAAGGCTAAAAGGAAGGGGGGGCATTCATTTGCCTCGTGTTTTGAAAAAGAGGAGGTGCCCTCTTAACAATATGATTGTGTCCATCTGATTCCATATCCATTGATTAGATCTAATCAATGGATGTGGTTGGAGCTCCTGATCTACATGTGTGTGTGCGTGTGTACTATTCAGGCACATAGATGGGGGGCATTCATTTGCCTCGTGTTTTGAAAAAGAGGTGCTGTTTTTTCAGTTTTCAGTTTTCAGTTTTCAGTTTTCAGCTCTCAGTTGTTGAATTGATTGATGATGAGTGAATTGCGGAAATGTTTCCTAACAGTGCGGGTTCTGTGGTTCCCCTCTCTCTCTCTCTCTCTCTCTCTCTCTCTCTGTCTCTCTGTCTCTCTCTCTCTTGCACCTCTCTCTCTTTTTTTCTCTCTTCCCTCTCTTTCTTTTCTCTCTCCTGTCTCTTCTCTCTTGCATCTTCTGGTTCTATTGCATCCCCTTCTCTTACATCTGTTGTATCTCTTCCCCTTGCCTCTCTCTCTCGTATCCCTTTCTCTTGCATCTCTCTCTCTTACATCTCTCTCTCTCTCTCTCTCTCGCTCGCTCTGGGATTCCCTTTCTCTCTCTCTCTCTCTCTGCTCTATTCGTCTTCTGGACTCGCGCATGCGAATGGGTGGTATGCTCTCGCTGCTGCCCTATCTTTTACTTATGCAATGAAACAACGAAACGCCGCGCGATTGCACAGGCAAGACACGGTTAATTAATCATTTCTTGATTAACGACAGCTGGCATCTCGTCGATCTCCCGGGTTACGGGTAAGAGTCCATCGGAGTTAAACCCTAATTAGTAATTATCCGTTTTGCGTCCACATTCAGTGTGACTGGCAGCCGCCACTGTCCTCTTCCGTCCTCCTTTTTTATTTTATTTTATTTAATTTTATTTGGGTTTGCAATTTCCTGTCGTCTATTCTTCAGATGCAGAACTTCTTTCGACACACACACACAAAAAAAAAAGAACTTTTGATGCAGTACGTGCTAACTCCTCCCCCCCCCCGGTCCCTTTTTGTTTTTTGAAAGCTTAAACCACCCCTACCGTCCTCCCCCGGAACACAACGCACCCTCATTATGACTGCATCCAACCGGAAAGACGGCTTGTATACACATTCAGAATCAGGGTGCGTTCTGTTCGGGGGAAGACTGTAGCTTTCACAGCCGAACTCAAAACCTCCTAGTGAAAAATGCAGTGTAACTTAAATGGCTGGGGGCGCCAGCTACCGCTGGCGCCGTCCCCCGAACACAACGGAGGCTGGGCGCCACCAGCTTCCACCAGACCAAAATGGCTGGCGGCGCCAGCCAAAAAACAAAACAAAAAAAAGTGGGGCTGGGGCTTCGGCAAAGCTTGGCGCGCAGTTCTTTTCGGCCTCGGCAAGAAGAGGCTCGGAGGCAAGTGGCAGAAAAGAGGACCATATTTAATCCAGAAAAGACAAAAAAAAAAAAAAGAAGGAAAAAGGAAAAACACATAAACCAGATGGGAACAATTGAAAACAAAAACAAAAAAAATCTGTTTTTTTTAAAAAGAATGCAACGAAGTGAGGCTCCCTATGAATCCCCCGCGGTCATGACCGCGGGGTCAATCTCGGCCCGCGGTCGGGATCCTGAGGTCGGCTGTGGGCGAGGGCCATGGTCGGAAAACCCCGACATTTTTAATTCCTAGGATAATAGGCCAAAAAAAAAACAAAAAAAATGGGGTTGTAGGCTTTTTTGCGCTCTACAAGCGTATATTTTTAGTTTTATTTTTTGACTTCGTTTTGGATTTAAAAAAAATGGAAAACAGAAATCCCTCAGGCAAAAGTTCTTTACTTTATTCTTTTAGTAAGAAAAATAAAGGATTTTGTTTGTTTTTTATCTCAAATTTGGTAACGAGTTTTGATATGACCCCAAGGCAAAAGTTGTTCAGTTTATTTTTTGGCATAACATATATATTTTTTCAGATTTTTCTGAATTTTTTTTTCTTTTTTTCTTTTTCTTGACCGCAGTCCGCGGCCGTGCCCGCGGTGACCGCGGCCACGGGGGATTCATATATTTCGGCCTCGGCAAGAAGAGGCTCGGAGGCAGTAAAAAAAATCTGTTTTTTTTTTAAAGAATGCAACCAAGTGAGGCTCCCACTTGTACAGATGTTGTGCTTCGATCCCTCTAATCCCTCTCCCTCCCTCCCTCCCTCCCTTCCTTCTCCCCCCTCCCCGGCTCGTCTGCCTCTTTGCCCCCCAGGCTGAGGCAGACCCCCAGACCATTGTTCCCCCAGCCGTTGGGTTAGCTCCTCGCTTCAACGATGGGATAGTAGTTAAACCACCAATACCTTTCCCAGCTATCGAGCCCGACCCTCCAGCTACCGGTATGCCGAGCCTTGCCGAGCCTACAGCTACCGGTAGCGGGATTGAGGTCCTTTGAAAAGACAAAAAATAAATAAAAAAGCAAAAGAAAATGAAAAATGAAAAACAAAGAAATGAGGCGGGAGAGAGAGAGAGAGAGAGAGAGAGAGAGAGAGAGAGAGAGAGAGAGAGAGAGAGAGGCAGCGACAGCTGAGATGCTCGGCGCATTTGCAGGGGCAGAGCAGTCTCTCTCTCCCTCTTTCCTCCCTCCCTCCCTCTCCGCTCGTTTTGCAGGTGCAAAGCGGGAATGAATCGTCCTGCGAAAGTGGGAAGATTCATTTTCAAAATGCTCTCTCTCTATCGAGAAAGAGAGAAACTCAGCGCTGCCCCAGCGAATGTGCTGAGCATCTCTGTGGCCTCCAATCTCTCTCTCTCTCTCTCTCTCTCTCTCTCTCTCTCTCTCTCTCCTGTCTCTTATACACATCTAGATGTGTATAATAGGTCATCAATGGATGGAATTTGTGATGATGATCGT